TGAATCTTCAGCCAACCATTTGAGAATGATGTTAATAATTAACATCAGCCGGTCACAGTGGCTCATACCTGTAATCCCAGCACTCTGGGAGGCTGAAGTGGGTGGATCATGAGGTCAAGAGATCGAGACCATCCTGGGCAACGTGGTGAAACCCCATCTCTACTAAAAGTACAAAAAATTAGCTGAGTGTGGTGGCGCGCACTTGTAGTCCCAGCTACTTGGGAGGCTGAGGCAGGAGAATTGCTTGAACCCAGAAGGCGGAGATTGCAGTGAGCCGAGATTGCACCACTGCACTCTAGCCTGGCAACAGAGTGAGACTCCATCTCAAAAATAATAATAATAATAGTAATAATAATAAACATCATGCACAGGAATGCTATGCTTTCTACGCTTTGGCATTTTCAGCAATCGAGAATTACTGTATTTTGTAAATGGAAATTCCACTACTAAGAACAGAATGCTATAAATAGAATGATGTCTTTTCTTTCCAAAGTCAGTATACTAGAGTGATGAGATAATAATAATAAAAGCAAGATATTTCATGGCAAAGTTATCTCAGGGTAAATGCTGTATCTGCAAGCGCTGCCGGTGAGTATTCTCGGGACAAATGGGAAAAGGGTTAAAAGCAATGTAACACAGAAGAAAACAGAATGGTACCTTGAAAGCACTGAGAGGACTTATTTTTCTTCATTCTGAAATATACAGATTTTCTACCTTTTTCCACTGAGAAGGCCTAGAATCGTTGAGCCTAGAACCGTGGGCACCCTAGCGTCCTGACTGTGGTCCCTAAATACTTTTTGCCAGTAAACGGAACAAGGGATCCTTAGAAGGATGGTTCATTCCAAGTCTGGGACAAGATACATAACAAACAAAAGTAGAGGGCTGGGCGCAGTGCCTCACACCTGTATTCTCAGCACACTGGGAGACCGAGGTAGGTGGATCGCCTAAGGTCAGGAGTTCGAGACCAGCCTGGCCAACATGGTGAAACCCCTTCTCTACTAAAAATACAAAAATTAGCCGGGCGTGGTGGCACGTGCCTGTAATCCCAGCTACACGGGAGACTGAGGCAGGAGAATCACTTGAACTCGGGAGGCGGAGGTTGCAGTGAGCTGAGATTGCACCACTGTACTCCAGCCTGGGTGACAGAGTGATACTCCGTCTCAAAAAAAAAAGAAAAAAATAATAAAACCTAGAGCATTTTATCGTGCTAGAAAGCAGGAAAGCTAATAAGGTCTAATGGATATATCAAAAGAACACAAGAGCCTACAACAGGAGCTTCCACTGGCCAAAGGTAGGACAGTTTGAGCCTTAGAAAGATGACTAGGGCCGGGCGCAGTGACTCACATCTGTAATCCCAGCACTTTGAGAAGCTGAAGCAGGGAGATCACTTGAGGTCAGGAGTCCAAGACCAGCCTGGCCAACATGGCAAAACCCCTTCTCTACTAAAAATACGAAAAGTAACTGGTGGTACGCGCCTGTCATCCCAGCTACTTGGGAGGCTGAGGTAGGAGAATCACCTGAACCCAGGAGGCGGAGGTTGCAGTGAGCCAATATCGTGCCATCACACTCCAGCCTGGGAGACAGAGTGAGACTCCGTCTCAAAAAAAAAAAAAAACCCAGAAATGTATCATTCAAATACAAACATAAAAGAAACCTACCAGCCAAATGCAAAGTGGGGACTTTGGATCTTGACTTTAATGTAAATGGACATTTTTTAAGATTTGAGGAAATTGGCAGATGGACTGGGATACTAAAATATTTTTGTCTATGTTTTTAGGTGTGATAATGGTGTTAGGTTGTGTGAAGTGTTTTGACTGTCTGATAGATGTACAGGTTCAAGTATTCCCAGATGAAGTAATTGCCTGGGGTTTGCTTTTAGCCACACATCCCTGCACAAAAAGTGGGAGGAATGAAAATTCGATTAGGTAACGTTGACAGAATGTTGATATTCATTCAAGTTTTGCTGTGGGTACCTGAGGGGTAGTCATTACGTTACTCTATTTTATGCAAGTTTTAATATTTCTGTACTAAAAATTTAGAAGACCATGTGCTTAAGGACCTTTCACATATCTGTAAGAGAGAGCCTCACTCAGAATATATAGCGTTGCCTTACAATTAGGTGCAGTTCTGTTGAGTTTGGGATGGGTACCAGTTTTATGGGAGAAACAAACTGATGCTAAAGGCAGTATCCTTATAGAAATAAAAATGTTTTAATTGGCAACATGAAGTAACACTGAAAATTCTTAGATGCACACAAAAGCTTATAAAAGCATAACACTAGGGGGTCACATAGTAATATTTAGTAGACTGGCTGTGCCTCAGTTGTCTTGCCAGAGGGCATCCTCTAAAAAGTTCTTCATCACAGAGCGCAGCACCTGGACAAAAGTGGTACACGCGGCTCCTCTGCCCACTCAACAAGTCCTTCCCAAGGGCTGTCATGTCAGTGCCAGAGCCACCCCTGAAGGACTGCTTTTGTTTCGAGGATTTGAGAGATGGATTCCTGAGGATCTAACACCATATTCCATTATGCATTATGGGTTTTTTATTGTTTTCCTTATCATGATTTATTATTTTTTAAATTTTTCTTTGAAGTTTGCTCATTTTAATCCATGTTCATTTCTCCCTCTGTGTGTGTTTGTGTCACGCTTGCTGTCTTTGCCTCCATTGTTCCTAGGTTACAGTATAGCCAGGATATACCCTGTCACTTGGCCGATGAGCATGCGCTGATAGCCTCCTATGTGGCCCGTCTGCAGCACTGTGCACGGTCAGTGGTGGTGCAGCAGCAGTGGGCGACCAGGGGTGATCAGAGGGAGGGAGAGCTTTGCCACCTGGGGTTGTCAGCTGGAAAAATAACTGCATGTAGGGTTTTTCTTGAGAAACTACGAGCTGTGTTTGGCAGAGTTAAAATAGTTGCTAAGCATTCGCTTCTACAAGAGAGGGAGGGTTGCCAAGCCTGGGCGCTTACCTAAACATGGAGTCAGACATTCTCCTTTAAAGTGGGGTTCACTTCCTTCAACTTACACTCAAAAAAGATACAAACCTATGAGAGGTCGACATTTCCAAAGATGCAGTATTCACAGGGGTATGTGATGCAGCCTCTTCCTGTTCATTCTTACCTGAATAATGAAATCTTTGTATTAACATTCAAAGTTTAGAGTTGATCAGCCCACAGATATCCTGCTTTGTCTTATCTGGGGACTTTGATACTGTCACCCTATTACATCTTTACCACCCTTTATCTGTTAGCAGGAATCTGTCATTGTTGATTATTTAAACCAGTGATTCCCAACAATGGTATTGGATCACTGTCACCTGAGGGTCTTTTTCCAAATTATATAGACCCTCTCTATTGTAATACTTACACGTATTATAATAGCTCCACATTCCCCTTACGCTGAAAACTACTACAGTAGTGACTCATTGTTAATAAGAGAATGTGTCTGATTCTTCAGTGGTTCGGGATGGAAAAACGTTTGATAACTGCTAACTATAGCAAAGTTCATCCTTTTTTAAAAAGATTTAGTACCGAAAAAAATGGTATTATGTTCAGGTAGGACCAAAGTCTCCTGCCCACTCCATGCCCACACCCACCACCATTCTTCAAGTAGGAGGACAGGTAAAGTTTAAACAATCTAAAGCCATCCTTCCCCTATGTAACAGCAAAGAAGAGTCACAAGGCCAAACAACTTGGAAAGCCATGCTTTGAGATTCTTATTCTTAGAGAGAAAACCATAATTTATAAGCTATACACATAACAGAGGCTGAAGCTTTAAATTTTGATCTTAGTTTTGCTTACAGCATGCCTTGGCTCCTTGGGAGGGTCATCTGACCTTGCTGCTACTCCCCATAATAATAGAAGAATAAATTAATAGTCAGTCGGGAAATATACATATGAAAAAGACTGTTTTTAATATTATACTTTATACCGTTTTCCACAGTTTTCCTGATATGACTAAATAGCATCATTTTTCTGGGGTATTTATGTATCTCTAAAGCTTGGAGAAGTAGGGTTTTCTAACCTTCTAAGTATGTTTAATAGGCTTACCCTCTAAAAGGGAAGGAGGGGCCTGATAATTGTGTGCGCTGCATCACAAAGTGTCTTCTCATCCAACAGGTGATTTCTTCGCACACTGTCCCAACTTCTTGGTCTCTAGGAATAGAGTTGTTTCACCTTAGGCAAGACAAATTCTTTATTATCAGTAAAGGCAATTGTCCAGAGTGAGCAAAAGTTTCCATGGTAAAAATAGCAGCAGAATGTTTGACAGAGACTGTTACCTAGTAATTTAGCCCAATCAGATTTATGGTAGGTTTAGCTAAGGCCCTCAAGTCTCACCTCGGCTCCCTGAGCAAAAATTGGTGGCTGGTAGCCTTGGGAGAACATGACGAGTGAGTGAGTACTGCCTGATTTCTTGATTAGTAATCTAAGAAACTGAGCTTCATACTTCTTCCGAGAAGTCAGAACTTTCCTGGCTAACTAATTCTGAAAATGAAAGTCAATTCGAACAGAAGAATAAGGATCCTTTCTAATTGCCCTCAAATAATTTTCATTGACCTTAAAACCTCTCATCAACACAAGCTTCTAGTTTCTGGCTAGAAAACATAGCCAATTAAAGCAGTCTGTCATCCACACTCATGTATAAATGACAAATAAGATCAGCCTTCCTAAGGAGATAGAATGTGATTGAGAAAAAAGAGCTCTTTTGCACAGAAGAATCTATTGTATCCCTTGCCAGATAACAGAGGTCAGCAACTTTAGGCCCCACTTCTTAGGCTTCCAATCCCTCCATAATATGATCCACTTGTATTCTTAAGCATCCATTTTTATTGTTTTTTTTTTTTTAATTTAAAAGATAGTTCTCTTATTTCACACAAATACCTTTAAAGCACAAATATTACAGTTTATCTCTCACCTTGGGGCCTTGACCCTAAGATATTAAAGCCGCCTGATAGTAGTCTGTTCTTATTACAAGATCATTTTTCAGAGGATGATTATCCTGGAGATGGATATTTGCATGCTTAAAATTATAAAGTGTTGACAAATGTCATAGGCAGAAGACTCAAAGCACTTTAAAAAAATCCTAGAAGAAAGACTAAGTTAAGCTTAAAGACTTAGCCAAAGAGATAGAAAGATTTTTAAAAAAGCAAAAATTAGAAAAAATATAGTTGATTCTACACATGAAAATTTCAGACAGATCTTTATTGATTTAGCCGCACCCTTCCCAGATTCCCCTCAGTAATTATAACAAACTTCGATGAGTATTGAAGTCATGTCTTTAAATTTTTCTATATGACTTGTCATACTGCTAAATTCTGATCAGGGGTTTTTGGAAACCCGAGAACATAGGGCCAAAGTGGAGGTAAGCCACAACAGCCACCTCCAGTCATTTAGTCAACATCATCACTGTTGTCTTAAAGCATCTGCCAGTCCTAAAGAGAGAATTATATAGCCACAGTCCCTATTAATCTGGGACTGTCTTGATAAGGATAAATAGCGTTTGATATACTAAATTAAAGAAGTCATGTATTTCAGAATCCAAAGTTCCATATCAGCATCCCATATGCAGAGCCAGCCTATTACTCAAGAACCCTTCCCTCATCCAGATACCACATTATCTGATAACCTGTCTGAATGGGTCCTTAGATTTTTTAGAGTGTTGGTACTGTTGTTAAAGAGTAATGCATTAAACTAATTAACTCCAAGATGGGGCTATAGATGTAGAATGAGCATAGTAAAGGAAGAGAAAGGGGCACGAAAAGGGGAATATTTGATGTCATGGAATCTTTCCAGCTTTACAGTGTGTTTGGCCTGCCCTGACAAGGCCAAACTTTTGCTTAGCCAGTGTTAAGTTTATTTTTTCTCAGCCCTCTATTTTTCATAATGCTCTTGGTCTTTTTGAATTTGAGATCAAGGTCTAAAAAGTCATCAGTTTTAAACATTTGGTTAGAAATCCCTGTCTCAGACTTTGTGGGTGCCCTGTGTTTTCTTAGCCCTTGTATTCAAAATTAAGTGCCCCTTTGATGGTGGGGGAGCAGCGGAGATGTGCTGCCAATGAGGAATGACAAATGTGGCCTCCTCGTTTCTCTAAATCCCCTTTTTTCTCAGAAGGCCATTAGTATCTATGACCCAGACCTCTAGTTCTTTTATTACCATTCTTTTATGAGCTTTTCTTCCATCTGTTCTAAGAATGGAACAAGAATAAGGGATGTTTAATAGACACCTGTTGCATTTTTATTTCCTTGGCAGTGTTCTGGACAGTCCTAGCCGACTGGATGAGGAACACCGTCTTATAGCTCGATATGCTGCCCGGCTGGCTGCAGAAGCAGGAAACGTGGTAAGTTAATGGAGGATCCCAGGAAAGTAGCAGAAATTAGCATTACTTTAATATACAAATGGAAAGGGAATAGTAGACATGAAATTTAGGAGAACAGGTACCTCAGGGACAAAAGGAAGGGGAGTGTTTAGGGAGGAGATTGAAGGGGCCCTTAATTTTATCTAAATGTTCTCTTTATTTGAAAAATAAACCCACGCCTGTAATCCCAGCACTTTGGGAGGCCGAGGAGGGCGGATCATGAGGTCAGGAGATCGAGACCATCCTGGGTAACACAGTGAAGCACCATCTCTACTAAAAAAAATACAAAAAAAATTAGTTGGGCGTGGTGGCAGGCGCCTGTAGTCACAGCTACTTGGGAGGCTGAGGCAGGAATGGCGCGTAGGCGGAGCTTGCAGTGAGCCGAGATCACACCACTGCTCTCCAGCCTGGGTGACAGAGCGAGACTCCATCTCAAAAAAAAAAAAAAAAAAAAAAAAAATCAAGAAGAGAAAATCAAAGAGCCAGAATTTCATTCTTTTAAGATATCAATAAAATTAATAAATGCAACAATACTCATCAAGTAAACAGGATAAAACACTAATTACTAATGTCAGGAATGGAAAAAGAGACATTGCTGTAGATCCCACAGACATTAAAAGAATGATAAGGGAATATGATGAACAACTTTTTCCCAGTAAGATTAACAACCTAGATAAAATAGATAAATTCCTTGAAAGACGCAAATTAATAAAACTGACACAGGAACAAATAAAAAAATCAAATATTCCTATGTCAGTTAAAGAAGTTGAATTCATAATTAACTTCCCACAAAGAAAACCCCAAGCTTGGCCAGGCGCAGTGGCTCACGCCTGTAATCCCAGCACTTTGGGAGGTCGTGGCGGGTGGATCACGAGGTCAGGAGTTCAAGACCAGCCTGGCCAACATGGTGAAACCCCGTCTCTACTAAAAATACAAAAATTAGCTGGGCGTGGTAGCAGGCTCCTATAATCCCAGCTACTCGGGTGGCTGAGGCATGAGAATCACTTGAACCCAGGAGGTGGAGGTTGCAGTGAGCCGAGATGGAGCTACTGTACTGGGATAGAGCGAGACTCGGTCTCAAAAAAAAAAAAAAAAAAGAAAAAAGAAAACCCCAAGCTCAGATACTTAAGGAAGAAATAATGTCAATTTAATGCAAACTCTTTCAGAAAATACAGCAAGAAGGAACACTTTACAAGTCATTTTATGAGGCCACTATAACCTGATAAAAAAACAATACAGAGGCATTACAGGCAAAGAAAATTGCTGGCCAAATTCTCTCATGAACTAGATACAAAAATCCTTAACAAAATATTAGCAAATTGAATCTAGCAATATATAAAAAGGATGATACTCCATGATAAAGTGAGATTTATCCTAGAAATGCAAATGTATTTAATATATAAAAATCAATGTAATTCACCACATTAACAGTTAAAAGATAAAAATTATAAGATCATTCAATAGATGTAGAAAAAGCATTTGAAAAAATACAGCACTTATTTATGATAAAACTTTTCCACATGCTAAGAATAGAAGGAAACTTCCTCACCCTGATAAAGAACAGCTACAAAAACCTGCAGTTAAGATCACATTTACAGTTTAAATTTTGAAATATTTCCCCCTAATATTGGGAACAATTCAGAGATATCCATTTTTACCACCTCTATTCTACATTATACTGGAGGACCTAATTAATGCAACATGACAAGAAGAAAGGGGTATAAATATTGGAAAGACAGAAATAAAGCAGTCTTTATTTGATGACATGATTATGCATATGAAGTCCTAAGAAGTCTAAAAAAACACTAGTAGAACAGGTAAGTAAATTTTATAGTATTGCTACAAGATACAAAGTGTATATCCCAGCACCTTGGGAGGCTGAGGTGGGCAGAGCACTTGAGCTCAGGAGTTTGAGACCACCCTTTGGCAGCATAGCGAAACCCTGTCTCTATAAATATATATATATATATACACACACACAAAAATTAGCTGGACGTGGTGGCACGCACCTGTAGTCCCAGATGCTAGGAAGGCTGAGGTGGGAAGATCAGTTGAGCCTGGAGGTCAAGGCTGCAGTGAGCCATGATTGTTCCACTGCACTCCAGCCTGGGCAACAGAGCAAGACCCTGTCTCACAAAAAGAAAAATACTATTTACTGTAGCATTAAAAATACCAAGTACTTATGGATAAATTTAATGAAAGATGTTCAAGACTGAAAACTGTAAAACGTTACTAAAAGAAATTAAAGAAAACCTAAATAAATGAAGAGGTATGCCATATTTATGGATTAAAAGATTAATATTGTTAGGATGGCAGCTTTTCCTAAATTGATCTGTAGATTTAATACCAATTCACATCTCAGCAGGCTTTTTTATAGAAATTAGCAAACTGTTTTTAAGATATATTTGGAGAACCAAAGGACCTAGAATAACCATAACAGTCTTGAAAAAGAATGACAAAGTTGGCAGACTTAATCCTACTTGACATTAAGACTTACTATAAAGCTATAGTAATCAAGAAAGTAAGATATTGTCAAAAGGATGAACAAATAAAGGAATAGAATAGAGTATCCATAAAAGAGACTCATGTGTAAGGTCAGATGACTTTGAGCAAAGGTAAGAAGCAAATCTGTCAGAAAAGGAAACTCTTTCTATTTTTAACAAATGCTGTTGGAACAACGATATCTACATAGGGAAGAAAAGAATCTTAACCCCCACCTCACAGCATGCAAAGAAATCAATTTGAAGTGTATCATAAACTTAAAAGCTAAAACCATAAAGCTACTAGAAGTATAGGACAATAATTCTTCATTGTCTTATGAAGAAGAATAAAAATTTATTAGAGTTTGTAGGGATCACAAACCATTTTAAAAATTGATAAATTAGACCTTACCAAATATAAAATCTTTTGCTCATTAGAAGATACTATTAAGAAACACACAAACCACTATCTGAAAGAAAATATTTGCAAAACATGTCTGACAGAGGACAGAATATATAAAGAATTCCTGCACCTCAGCAATCAAAAGACAACCCTTTTTTTTAAAACAAGCAAAAGACTTGAACAGATATTCCACAAAGAATATATACCAATGGCCAATAAGCACATGAAAATGCGCTTGATATCATTAATCATCAGGAAAATGCCAATGATACCACGATATACCCACCAGAATGGCTACAGTGAAAAAGTTGGATGATACCAAATGTTGGAGAGGATGTAGAGCAACCAGAAATCTCACCCTGTTGTTGGCAGGCCTATAAAATGATACAGCTACTTTGGAAAACTATTTGGCAGTTTCTTAAAGACGCAAGCATTTATACTATGACCCAGCAATTCTACTTTTTTTTTTTTTTTTTTGCAATTCTACTCTTACATATTTATCCAAGAGAAATGAAAACATTTTCACAAAAAGCTTTGTACAAGAATGTTCATAGCAGTTCAATTCATAATAGCTGGAATAGCCAGCGTAGTTATCAACAGAATAGATAAACAAAATGTGTTATATTCATACAATAGAATTTTCTCAACACAAAAAGGAATAACATTGATATATGCAACGACATGGGTGAATATCAAAAATATTGTGAGTAATAAAAGAAGCCAGACAAAAAAAGTACATACTGTTTTTTTCTATTTATGTGAGATTCTAGAATAGGCAAAACTAACTTATCCATTACTGTAAGTTAATCATCAACTCCTAATCGTAATCAGATAAGGGGTTGTTTCTGGAAATGGAAATATTGAAGGAAGATGAAGAAACTTTCTGGATTGATAGAAATATTTCACATTTCAATGGAGATGTGGGTTGCAGGAGTATACATTTGTCACAATGGATTAAATGAAAAACTTTTTTTTTTTTTTCTTGAAAGAGAATCTCGCTCTGTCACCCAGGCTGGAATGCAGTGGCGCAGTCTCAGCTCACTGCAAGCTCCATCTCCTGGGTTCACGCCATTCTCCTGCCTCAGCCTCCCGAGTAGCTGGGACTACAGGCACTGGCCACCACGCCCGGCTAATTTTTGTATTTTTAGTAGAGACGAGGTTTCACTGTGTTAGCCAGGATGGTCTCGATCTCCTGACCTCGTCACCCGCCCACCTCAGCCTCCCAAAGTGCTGGGGTTACAGGTGTGAGCCACTGCGCCCATCAGTGGAATACTTACCATCTAAGTATTATATCTCAATTAAAACAAAAAGGAACCAAGAATGTTGAATATGTAAGGATTTGATTGAAATAGGAAGTGGCTCCCCAGGGATTTGCAGTGTGTTTCCTGCAATTTTGAAATATTCATAATACACTGTTTTCTCTTTTCCTTCTCCTTTTTCAGTTATTTACTTTCTTTGAGGAGTTATGTTCACATTAATATTCACCCACCCCCAACCAGCCACACACACTCATTTTATTCATTCAGCAAATACTTCTTTTGTTGCTGTACTGTGCCAAATTGGATACTATGGTGGACAAATGATTCCTGCCCTCATGGAACTAACAGTGCAGTGACAGAGAGAAACATTAAATAAATAATCACACTACTAAACCTAACTACAAATTATTATGTGCAGTGGAGGATAAATGCAGAGAGCTGTGGAAGTGTAGAGCAGGTGCCTGATCTGTTCTGGAGAGTAAGGGATAGCTTCTGTGAGAAGGTGTTACTTGAGTTGGGATCTGAAAATAGGTAGAATAGAATTCAGTTTCCTGGAAATTGAAAAGGAACTGAAAACCAAAGCAGGCCAAGAGCTACTGTTGCTGTCACTGCTGCTGCCACCCCTGCCCTGTGCTTGGATGTCAATTGTCAGGAGCTTCTGTGGGGCAAAACCTTGGTTACGTGCAAAATGAAGAGTTGAAAATGAGGCTCTCACATTAAGGTAGGCCCCTTGAAGCATTATACCCTTGGTGAATATGTTGTATAAAAGATAACTAGGCTAGGCACAGTGGCTCACTCCTATAATCCCAGCACTTTGAGAGGCTGAGGCGGGTGGATCAC